ACTGCCGACCCTCGCAGGGGGAAAGGCAGGGATTTGGGAAGAGACAGAGGAGCAGGTCTGGGTCGTAGGGTTGAGCGAGCAGACACGTCAATGCACAGGCTGCAAAGTCCTCTTGTTTCCCAGGCTAAGCAGGGGTGCAGGCGTGTGTGGATGTGACTAGGGGTGCAGTGAAAAGCCTACCTATTGCCAGCTAAGTGTGAGTAATCTGCCCTAGCTCTGAAAAGAGAGGCTAAGGCCTTATTCACTCTACAAAGGAGTTTAGAAGCTGATGGATTTAGTGGCAGAGACAATTACCAAACAACAAAGGCCAGAGGGGCAGTGTTGTTTTTTTTTCTTTCTTTCTTTTACTGTCATTAGCAGAGAAACCTGTTGGACTTTCAACTGAAACAATGTTATCACCTCGACTTAGGCCTTCTACTGTTATTCTATTCTATTCTATTCTGTTTTACTGTCACTCTACTGTATTTCTACTGTTATTCTACTGTATTTCTACTCATGTCATGTCATTCTACTGACGTTTCACTGTCATTTTCTTCACATGATTTACCTGTACTTTAGGGAGATTCTGATAGCGCCAAGCGATTTTCATGGAATCCAAACTCTCTTGCGATTCACAGGGGAGCCGCGGCTGCTCCACTGGTTTGGGTATGGCAACATCGTCCAAGATGGGAGCAGGGAGTTCCTGTAGAAAAATAAACATGGCAATTGGCACATGGTGTTACAGGACACAAAGTTGTTCAACCATCTAGGTAAAACAAATTACCTGAGGTGTTAAAAATAATCAAAAGTACTGTACAATTCTATGTTCTGAGTAAAAACACCCCCCCTCCCAAAAAAAACCTCCCCCACTGCTAGCCCACTGCTCCTGTGTGTCCAGTGTTAATCACTGGGGACTTTCACAGATGGATTAAAGTGAGTTTCCCTTTGGGGAAAAATAGAACACTTAAAAAATGTTGTGTAAAGCAGTGTTCTCTTTAATGGAAGTAAAGAGAGGTCCCCCAAAACATGAGGCTCGACTTTCTGCTTTCCAAAGTACTGTCCTGTTTTGGAAAAATTCTGAATCTGGTGAAGTAATACAAATATTTTAATCATCTTTCTCAGTGTAAATGATATTGCACAAACTATTCACAGAGATCAGTCACTGTTTTATATATTTTCTGATAGATAAGGAAGTTTGTTTCTACCAAATTGTGACAGTGTTCTGAGATAGGGCTCAAACACAAGCACCTCCTTGTGATAGATGGATTATGACTTCAAGAGTTCTTGTCTAAGTTAAATTAAAATCACAAATCTGACATTAGCAGCAAATATGTGCTCTGTAAAAAGAACATACAACAGTAACACACCACCATGCTGTCCGTTCTCAACACACCACAAAGTTAAATTTCATTAAACATGACTCAAGCAAAACAGGACCTTTTTTTTTTTTAGCTCTCAGAGATGTCGCAGTCCTTGTAGACACATTTTCCAATTTCCTGCTTGAGCCTTAAAACCTCTTTGTAAGCTGTTTTTATGTGGACATATTATGGTGATGCATTGAAAGCATGTGAGAATTAGCATACTGTGAATGTAGCAGTGAAAACACTAAATGATGTGATATATTCCCTTTGGGAGTCCCCATCTCTTAATAAGCCTTTGATATGTAAAGAGAGGGTGAGGCTGTGACCCCTCCCACTATCAATCAGTGGCAGAGGGGGCCCTTCCTCCAGTATGCCAAGCCTTCACTCAGCTTCTGGAGCTGTAGCCCCCTTTACAGAGCGATGCTTTGGGAAACATTTCAACAATGCGACAACCATACCACCCTCGACCTCTCGGATGCCCTCAGTGAGTGACACATTCTGAGCCGAGCTTGAGAGACCTGCTGAATCACGGCCCGCGTCAGTGTGAACTGAAAACCATCCATTGGTCGATTTTAATTCGTACACATTCACCGTCACCACGCTTTATATTCAAATATTGAGACCACAGCGTCTGTGTAGAGATCATGTTGGTGCAGCAAGATTAAAGCCATCGTGGCCCGTTGGTAGATTCTTTGTCAAGACTCGTTCTGCTTGGGGACGGATCTCTTTTTAACATCAAGTTAATCACATTTCTTTTCATACCTGTAAGATGTCATCAGGATTCTCTTGGGCTGCTGCCACGAACAGTCGATGTCGACACACAACTCCCTCAGCCAGGAAGTATTTTAGGATCACACGGGAGTAGCTATCGTATCTGTCCTCCTCTAAAATGGAAACAAAAGGACAACACTTAAAAATGAAATAAAAATCGGCTCTAGGACTTAACCAAACAATATTATTTTACTGTATATGTATGCCACATTATTATTATTATTATTAGAGGTGTACACAAAGTAAGCTAATTTAAAAGGATTTGGTGGTTGGTGTGTTTTCCCATTAAAGAATACTGTTGAGCTAGCTTGCTAACAGCAAAAAAAGAAGAAGGAAAACAACTGGCACTGTTTTAGTGCATATTAGGTTGTCAGTTACATTAACCCAGACTGGTATCTAGGAGGTTCACGAAAATCTTTGTCACCTCAACTGTGCAGACTAGCAGCATGTCAGTGTCATTTATAACTATTGATGTGTCATTTGTCTACTGTTGAGTCTGATCACATCAGGTGTACGCTGTGATTCACTAGAAGTGAGTAAAAGACAGATTTGAGGAGTGATGAAGTGTTTGCTTTAAATTAAAATTTAATTTTTAAACTTTTTATTTAAAAAAGACATGGGTTTACATGGGTATATAAATAGTGCATAAAAATGGGAGAGAAAAAAATCAGTCCTGGAGGTCCTGATGACAGCCTGCTTGATTAAGATAGTATTAAAAATATAAATGTGGAAAATCACCTGCCATCAAAACCTAGTCTCAATTTGAAAAATTTCTAAATTTAGAATTGTCCTGATATATAAAGAATCCAATGTTTTTGTAATGAAAATGAAACATACACAAAAATGCCAAAGAGTAAATGGAGAATGTCTTATAAAGTCTTCTTGAGTATCAAAAGAAATCAAAACAATTACGTTTTCCTGGAGGCAGCTTTTCTCCGCACTCCCAAAACAGCCATTCAGCTCCTGTAAACCCACTAATTCCACTAGACAACACTCTGCATCATCACTGTGAAACCCTCACCCCCTAAAAGGAAGGCACATTTCTCTACCAGCATGTTACTGCTGCTTCCTGTCACAATCTTCAGTTTGTAAAGGCCCCTGCACACAATGAACAACAGTGGGCACAGGGACAAAGGCGGCAGTGACAGTTAAAGGTAAGGGGCAAACAGCTGACAGCTCGGGAATGACAGCCCGACGCGTCATCCTCGAACATCCGCAGAATTCCTCCCTCCCACGTTGCCCCATCCGTGTCCTCACCTACGGACTGAGGATGGCCCAGGAAATTCCATGGCTCTTCAATTTGTTGACGGTGGGGCTCCCTGTTCTCTTATTGATGGGTTTCTAGGTCAGCAGGCCTTTGTGGCTTTCAGCAGGCCTCACAATGACTCCCAGATGGGCCCTCTCAAGATGGGGCCTATTGTAGTTGTGTTTCTATGGGAGCCTTACAAATGGAACCTCCAGGAGTCATTAGGCTGCTAAAGCGGGGGGTAAGGGGTGGGGTGGAAGGCATCAGGGTATAGACGCAACAGGGGGTGAGGAGGCTGGGGGGTGGAGGGGTGGTAGGGGAGGTCATATCTTTGAGGTAGATCAGTCAGTCCGGACAGTCACGGGATATTTTTTTTTCCCCTTTATCTTTTTCTGTCCCTCTCCTTCTGATGAGGGTTGTTTGTCTTCAAACAGAGAGCAGACGAGTCCTGAAACATATCATTCTGAAGCTGCAGGGGGAGGAGACTCCATATCTAGGTCACATAATGTTTTCTCCCTCGTGAAGGTCTTCACGGTCTACAGTATGACGCGCAATAATTTTTTCTCAGCAGCTTCCTGCTATTTTACTAGAAAAAAAAAATATTATTCTGCATTAGCCTATCAAAATAAACACTGACAGGAAATGTGACTTTATTTCACTGACAAACCTCATATACAGTACATTGGTACAACTTCATTTTCTGTATATATAAACATAAACACATACACATATGTATATGGACATAATGCAAATACATATATATATATATATATATTTATGTATATATATATATACTCAGTGTGACAGGCTGTTAGTACCAAAGGAGCTGACTGTAGCAGTGACAACTGCACGAAACTAAAACAAACACTCTCTGCACCGTGTCCACCCAACACATAACAAAACAAACACACAGGGCCAACTGCACACATACAGACACACACATACACAGCACTTTTTATGAAATGAAAAATGCACGCACACACGCACACACATACACACACACACCCACAATCACCTTTACTGTGTCTCTCATTACCAGATGAAACCAACCGTACAATGATTCACAAAATGGAAGGGAAGAACGCATTAGTGTGTAATCACTGACTCCTGCATCGATTGGGGGATGAATTAAAGGGCAAAGCAATATCATCAGTTGGTGTATACTGTAGGCCTTAGCTACACACAAATTACAGCTTCAAGGCTAAACAAGACTGCCTTAATCTCTCCGTCTACCAGACACTGCCTATAACTCACCTTGGGAAGAATGAGTAAATGATGATAATAATTACAATAATAGTAGTAATATAGTGGATGAAACATTTACGCCTTCAGAAAACACTCAAAATGGTTGCTAAAACTTGTATCACACGTTCACAATGCAGCATGTTCTTGTGTCTGGGGCTGAGATTCTGACTGGCAACCTTTAAAGTCATCTTCACAGATACACAGGAAGTCCTCAGACACAGTTTTATTCACTGTATTGAATTAATAGACAAGATTTACTGCATTGACAAATTAAAAATTACAGCCTTTTTAATCTTGGGATGGACAGTGACATGCATTAAGTGGCTAATTATGCATAGCCACTTCTAAACTAAACTAATTTACTATTTTTTTTAACTGACTGGGATACATTCAGATTCAGATTACACAATGTTTAACATCTACATCCTGTACACTTTTCAGCTATCTCTCTTTCTATTCGCTAGCTTATAGAACCTACAGGCCTAACCTTAGTTTATCTTTGCAATTCTGGACCTGACTTTTAGCTATATTTTCTGGTATATCTTTTACTATTCCTTGACTCAATTTATTTTGCTGGTTTAGTTTTTCTGTTCTAATATAACATTTCAGTAGATAAATACATTCTCAGACATTCTGTGTTTACTGCTACTCATTACTGAGCTTGCTTTTTTTAAAGTATGACTGTGTATATTGTGACATTCATAAATACAACTTTAAAACTGTGATTTATTCTTCAAAATATTAAGCAATGCATTTTATCAATAATAAACCCATTAATTATGAGCTTTGGTGAAATAAATGATGATGATGAACTTAAATATAACACAATGGCAGTGCTTCAGATAAAATAAGGTCAATCATTAACATTAATGTTAAGTCAGTGACCCTCTCTCACATGAAAACAGAAGACCTACCTATTAGAAGAACTGTTCCGACAGCTAAGCCCCCACCTGTAGGCAAGTAGAAAATTACATTATTAAACATCCTTAATATATAGCATTTAATAGCACCACACACAGATCAAAATGGCTTTACTCTAAATCAGTATATTTTGTATTCTGTGCAGAATACAAAATATACTGATTTAGAGATGGTGTTAAAGCAAAAATCTTGACATAGTTAGTGAGTAATTCTATTTAACTTGTTTTGTTGCTCAATTACTCACTTTTTTTTTTTTTTAGAAAAAGCTGGTATTCTCTGCTGTCCTTCTGCACATGCTTAGAGACTAAACATTATTCATATTAATTAAGGTACAGGAGTGGTTATCCTCTTAGCTTACAGCAAGATCACCTTCTTAATCCCCGGTGGTAACTGAAGTATGAGTGGGTTTTGTCTATTTTACTCCCTCTGTCAAAACGCAGGATTAGCTTCAATTGTTCAACCACATATATAATATATATATCAAATAGGAATTTTTGCAAATTAAAAACATGAAATGGTGAGTCAATTTGTGAGGGTACTTGTTTGTCCTCAAATAGGTGAAAGACTATAAATGTATAAATATATTCGTAAATAAATGTATTCTCTATAGAAATGTATGTTCAGTCAAGAATTTTAACGACGTCTGATCTATGCTGTTACCATTCATTTTTACATTACAGTGTGTGATGCAGTAGAAAAGCAACACCGTTCCATCTACTGTAACTTGGAGCTCCCCGTTAAAAGACATTTCGCTGTCATTCATTTTTGATGTACTTTTTAAAATATATATATTTCACCCCGTCAGAGACTATAATAGCGTCGGAGCTAATGCCGACGTCAACCCCACAAAAGCCAAGACTAACCGAGCAGAAAGTCAAGCGACGTGACACCGGAGGAAACTAACAGCTGTCCATTCTGAACAGAAGGTCTGGTGCCTGGTATGGAGAGTAACTTGCTCCTTGTTTTCTTCTGAAAACTAGTGGTTTTGAACGTTGAACGTTCAGTTTGCTGTTTAATAACACGCTCCATGGGCGCAGCCATCTTTCGTTTTAGCAACGTGATGACGCAAGGTAGTGTTTTGGAGAAGATTATCCAATAAAAAGAGACATTGCTACAGTTCGACCAATCAACGTCAGTATTGTTGCGGGGTTGATCAAGCGCTCTGTTACGCACAGACAAGTTCAACTTGTGAAGCGTTCATGCCGGAGCTTTAAATTTTGAAACATACGTTCATAGGTAAGTTTTTGTCACGTTTGCTGCAGTTACGTTTTCTAAAGTTTAATATTTATGTTATTTAATTTGCATTTAATAAGAAATTTTACACATTTAGGATTCAGGGTTTTGGCTACACTTAGGCGAATACAGTGTTTAAAACTGCACTATAATATTGAAATCAGCTTGAGGCGTTATAGTTGTATGGTAACACGGTGTTATTATTGTAATTTAAATTTAAAAAAATGATCAAAAGAACACACACACCAATATCCTGCAACTCTAAGATGTCAAACTTCAACAAACCGTCTGTCTCCTTAGCTACTCTCAGACACTTATATCACCTGGTGGAGTCGCACATTTCCCATCTCTTCACATTAGAGGCCATGTCATAATCATTTCACTTCATATTAAATATTTTTTCTTTGACATAAATAATCATAGGTTATGATGTATGGATTCGAATCTAATCCTGCTAAAAAATATGTCTGTTATCCAATAATAAGACAATCCCGTCCCTCTTCCTACCTATCACTTGTTTTCATGTATTTGTTGTCAAATTACTTTTTTTAAGTTGCATTACTGCAATCTGGGACTATTATAATGGGTGACGGTGGAGGAGGGTCTGTTTGTATTATAAAAACAGTTTACCATTTCTTTCGTATGCAATGATTGTATTAAACATATTTTTATTTGTTACTATATATACTCTGCCTTTAAGTACTGCATTACAAGACATAGGAATTTGATGTAACACTGGTTTTAAAGACCAGGCTGAATGTGGAGTTGAAGATATTGAACAGCAGTTCAATGTCAATACATGTATTGCTACACCACTACATTAATATTAGTATCAGCATGATTAGTAATTAGTGTATTTCTTAAAGAGGTCATAAAAAATCTTTTAGCTTTTTTCAAAGTGAAAAGTAGGGAAAAAGGGCTGTAGGGGTGAGAACATTTCAACACATCCTTACTGCACCAAGTCACATTTTCCAGCCACTCACTCGTCAGCACAATACAGTATTGAAGAACGTGCGTGGTATTCTTTCTTAACATTTTATCTGTTTATATATGTTTTTCCTGCTGTGTTTATGTCAGTCTGTGTATCTGATTGAGTTGTATAATGGCAGCAGTCATAACATGTCAGATCCTTCCTGTCACACTGTTTTGGTTTCGTCAGTCTTACTGTAAGAAGCTGTGTAACTCTTTTTTTTTTTCCAAGAGTTGAGATTATCATCAACTCGCAGCGTATTTGTTTTGTTAGTGTTGAAAGGAAGGCAATAATCTGTGGGTGTGAGTACAATAAGCGGAGGATGCTCTGTTGTACACAGCTAATTTTGTCTAAGTATTGAGTTTTTCCATATATTCATCTCATATTGTTTAGTTATTTTGGTTTGTTGAGATTGTTGCTGATTGCAGACAATCAGCATTATGTGTAGTTTGACCTACAGGAGAGAAGAAAAACAGTCTTTGAAAAAAGAGAGTTCATACCAGAGGTGATCAGTCCCAAATGTATCATAATTTGTTACCCCCAATGGTCCAGGTTGTGGGGAAAGTGTTATGTGTAAGGTAAAGACTGGTGCAGTTTTCTTGTAATGGGAATCAGAGACAGGAAGTGACATAGAGTGCACTGCATTTTGGGCAAGAAAAACAAAGCCAACAATGTTAAACTGGAGAAAAAGAAGTACATAAAGATTAAGTTTGAAAATATCTTATGGACAAATATGGAGTAGTGAGGAGGTGCAGTGCATATATATATATATATATATATAGTCAGAGGATGAATATCATGGTTGCGTGCGGCTGATGTTTTTTCAGTTCAGAGTTTTTCTGGTTTCAAGCTGGATTTTCTTCTTCTTGGTTAGTGCTTTCCAAATGAGCAGTTTTGTGTGATTTAAGTAAATTGAGTTAATTGTTAATTGAAAAAAAGTTAATTGAAGTAAAAAAAACAAGCAATACAAATGATGATTAACAAATACTTATTTGTTCTTTCCTGATAAAAATGTAGATTAATAAGATCACCTGTCGGGACATGGGGGCCTCTGTTGGTTTGCTTTATTCTGATATATCTATGAGGCTTTGTAACAAGCTGGGCAGTGCAAAAACACCCGCTCCTTTGTGTATCTGACACAACAGCAGATAAGATCTTAATTCTCTCACCACCAGGCCAGTTGTGCACGTTCACTTCTGGTCAATACAATACGATTTAGTGACTGATTTTTTTTTCCCTTTGAATGTAATTGGCAGGGGACTGTGTCAACCCACACTTCCTTTCACTTCATAGCAGCAGTTGTATTCATATCACTTGGCCATTATTTGCACTTGCTGACCCATTGATTGCAGGCCTAAACCCACAGCCCCTCAAACAGTAATGTTGGTCAGCTGTTCCACGGCTGTGTTGCTGCTGGCAACAATGAAAAGAGCAATATGCAGATCAGTCACTTCAAATAAGCCTCTGATAGAAGGCACACAGACCAGGCTGGGGTGTTCTTTAAATCTGAGACTCTTACATCTGTCGCTCTCTCAATCCAGACAGGTGTCTGTCTAAATCAGCGGATTATCTCTGATTTCGCTGATAGTAGAAATAGACCCCCCTGGTTGCCGAACCTCCCCCTGTAAAGCAGTCACATTAAGATGAAATCAAGCACTTTGCAATGGGACCATCGGCCCCACCTTCCTTCGCCTTCTGCTGCCCGGAGGAAGACATCAGAGGTAGAAACTGGTTCCATGTCCTCTGCTGCCTGCTCCTCCAGACTCCCTTCCATCTGGGCTCCTCTGGGAGAAGAGGAATATCTGACGAGGGACTTGTAAGCCTCTTAGACCCCCTGTTGCTCAGCTCTCTCTCAGCCCATGTTTTCCTAATTTAGTTGTGTAGGGAGTCCATGGCAAGGCCCCTGTGTGCTGTTTGGATTGAAATTCTCTTTGTGGTTCTAATAGACTGGTCATGTATATCAATTAACAGCAATGAGCCACTGGCAGGTTCAGATCTCTGGAGACCAGTGGCAGTAATCCCCTCTGAACATTTCCTTATGGCTTCAGTAAAGTGTATTTACACACACAAATAATGTTCTCTATGTTAATGTTGACTTCATTTTATTTTAATCTGCAGCTGCTGCTTTTTAATCACACACAGTGTTCTCCTGGCCCCCATAGCAATCCCCCATTTTCAGGGTGTGGATGGTTTTATGGGATTATCATCCCAATGATAGCATGAAAGCATTATACATCTTATCCTTTACTATTAGTACACTGTCTCTGATATTTTGAATTTGAACACATCTGTGAAGTATTTAAAGTTCCTACCAGTTTGATTCCTGTTAATGTCATAAAATAAATCTGCAATGACCCGTTTAAAGTCTTGATTATCTTATTATTCTGCCAAAAAGATGATCAAGCGAAAGAAGAATGCTGTTTTTCATAGTTCCCTTTCTACAACTAAGCAAACAGTCACAGTGTCTTTGAACAGTTTTCTGTTATGGGCAAAGCAGACTTATATAATCTTAGTCTGAACTCTTTAACATTCAGAGTTAAAGTTAAGTTAAGTTCTTGCCTTACTTACACCAGGCTTGTTCAATACTGCTTTGCCTTTGCTAAAACAATCACATATTTGGCATGTGAACATTAATAATCATTTTTAGATTTTTATTGGATTTTGCAAAATGTAAATAATTAATTGAAATATATACAATATATATTTTATATAAATGCATATATGTGTGTATATATATTTTACTTTTGCCAACATTTATTGAAAAAAAATGGTCAAATTGGTCAAGTTTGACCTTTTGATGACCTTGTTGCCCACATACAGGTGCCTCTCAGCTGCCCTGACTCTCTTTGTCCATGTTTGTCCTGTAATCCTGGATTAACAGAGAGACTCAGCGTGTTATTTACAGCTGTAATGCAGCATCAATTTAATGTCTAGTCTCCCCAAGCGCACATATGTGAAGTACTGGGGGTCAAGAAATAGTGTTGGTTCCCAGATTCTAATCTTGTGAGAATCAGAGGTCACTGTGATCCAATCAGAGGTGTCTCCCAATGTCGACCTGATTACAAAAGGAGCTCCCAGAGGAGTCACTGCAGCGCACGTACATCTTGGGATTTTATGAAACACATAGGTAGTGCTGTTGTCTGTGCTTGCACACACAAACGCACACACACACACACACACACACACACACACACACACACACACACACTATCAATGACAGAGGGTGCCTCAGAAAACCAGGCGGCTGCATATGGACTCTCTTGATATCAGTCACTGGCCGTGTGATCTTGTTATGCAAAGTCCCTTAATCCCTACCTATGACCAATGCCCACTGGAATTGTGTGTGTGTGTGTCAGTGTATAGTGTGAGGGCAGCTGTACAGAAAGGTGTCAATACCCGAGTGCAATTCACCTTGATCACAAAATCTTAGTCTGCACAAAAAAATACGCTCACCTAGTGTTTTACACCATTTTGTATTACTGTTCTTCTAACCTCCACAACAGCTCCAGGTGGTAAAACCTATCATGCACTTAAACCAAAGTCATTTTATATAATACATCCAGAGCTTACATGCATTGCGGGTAATTCACAATCCTAATTTTATAACCACAATTCATGATGTAGGATTGAAATTGACAATTTTGATTGACAGTTAATCCCATTGGAATCTCACAGGTCAAGCAGCATCAACGGTAAAACTTGAATGATACAGTTTGGAAGAGACTTACTGTTGTGACATTTCCTCCTTTGTTTGTGTAACAATGTTTCTATTCTGCTGGATGTTAACGTTCTGAATTCCATTTTTTATTTATGGTATTGAGGAAAACGTTGTTGCAGCTTTTACAGATTGAATAGTTGTAGATAAAGCACAGACAGCACCAGACTGTTTGATAAACGTTAATCCAGTTTGGCCCGCAGTTTAGAATCCGTATTTTGAATCCGACCCCTTGAGTGATTGAGGTTGACACCCCTGCCTCAGAACCTTATGTCTGCTGCCTGCTGTCCTGCTGTCATATTTGACATAAACACCTCTTACAGTGCATTACATGTCATTCCTTTAAAAGACTCGTCCTAACACGAAGAGTCAGAACATGAAATTATCTCAGCGCTTTCCATATGAAAATAAAATCATGGGTTTGTGACTATTCTTATACTAGACTTTGACTTTGAGTTTAGAAATGTATGTCCAAGTTGCCATTCAATGTGACACTTTTAATAATAAGAGTTGGGCAAAAAATGAAATTAAAAATGAATCTCTGGATTGTTTTTTTTTTTACCTAACACAGCCATAGTGGAACACAGGGGCAGGTAAAAGGATGGGGTTTGGCTTCATGATGACTTTGGGATGACATCATGATGAAAGACTAGATAGAGGGTTTAATAGGTAGATTAATGAAAACATGCATGAATAAAAGAGCATTGTATGTATCACTTTGTGTGTGTGTGTGTGAGTAGGACTGTGGAGGGGGTAATGGGATTAGTAGTAACACTGTTGGCAGGGCTTGGAAGAGCCACCTGACACTCGGTCTGTTGGGGACCTGGGGAAAAAGGGGGGAGCAAGGGAGAAATTGGGGGTCTAATCCTTGTTCATCTTTGGAAAGTCATTCCCACAGCTCGGAGGATTTGAGGGTTTGGTTTCCGCTCTGCTTGATTTGGTTAATAATACCCTGGAAGAGAGGATAAACGTGGAGGGGCAGAAGGAACAGGCCGGAGGCTGGAAAAAAAAAGATTTAACTTTGGGTGATATAGGAACAAATGCTGCATCTTACATGTGTTAAAAACATTTTTTTATTGTTGTGTGTTGAGTTGTTGTGTGTGTTTGTGTACTTCAATGAATACTAAGTAATATAAATAATTATAATAATATGCAAAAAAAAAAAAAAAATTCAAATAAAAATGTCATCAAAGACAGATTAGGATTTCAGAGCAGAGAATTTTCCTAACCATAAAATATTAAACATTTGAGCAGATGCAGTCAGCTGAAATAATCTCAATATTTTGTTAAATTAAGATTAAAATAATAAAAAGACACAGTTACGATTAAGTTAAAAGACAATTACCAAGACTCTTAGCTGTCCAGAAATACTTTATTGATCCGCAGTAGGACTGAAACACAGGTGTGTGTGCGGTGTTAGTGTGTGTGCACGTGTGTGTTTGTGTGCTGTTGCACCTGCTTAAAACACTCTCCCGTTGTTGACTGACTTATTTCTGCCCATGCAGCAGGTTGAGTAAAAGTCAATAACCTAAGTGTGGATGGGATGTTTGCTCAGAAGACACAGCCACAGTCCATGTGTGTGTTTTTGTGTGACAGTGTGTTTGCAGGGTGGGTGCCGGGGCACCGGGGTGTCTCTCTGTTTCTATGGCGCTGACAGACGTTGATAACTGTTCCAGTAATTGTGGTCACAACTGAGGCAGCCGGTGTCAGGGACCAGCCAGGGAACGGGGCAGAGCCGCATGGCTGGATGTGTCACAGCTTCTGTGTTTGTCCGTCACCTCAGCTCGAGGTGTCGATTGGTCCATTCTACGCAGGACCAAAGTTCCTGACAGTTTTCTGCTGTGAACTGGCTGCTCACCCTCTGAGAATGAAACACCAGGGAATGTGCCATGTCTGTGACAGGCCAACTGTGACAACCTTGTTCACACCTTTTACAATTAAATCCACAGATGTCTTTGTCCTCAGAAATGAACAACATACAGTAAAACCTGTCTGACACTGGACTGTATGAACCCGACTTAATGTTTGTTAAGTTGTTGATGCACGTGTAAAACTTTTAACAACTTTGAACATCAGTGACCTGTAATCTTCTTTTGTGCCGTAGGTGAAGATGTTCCGCAGAGCGATGTGGAAGACACTTGGATTCGTGGGCTACACCGTACAGTATGGCTGCATTGCACACTGCGCTTTTGAGTATATCGGCGAATTTGTGGTGGTTGGTATAAATAATACGATATAACAATTAAAGCTGGGGTAGGCAGGATTGTAGAATGTCACTTCTCTGCAAAATCAAGTACCAATCAAGTTGAGTATGATTTTGTCACGCGGGAATTGCAGCAACTGCAATTGTCACGTGAGGTGCATTCAGGTACCATTGGAAACTTGAAAATCCAACTATTACGGCAGTTTATGAGGCCCCTCAAGGCCTCCCCTTGGTTCCTTAGGGGGCCAGGGTTTCCACTTTAATAACCAGTGGGTAAGATCATCTTGCTTTAGGGCAGCGAAAGTTTTTTCGCCCTTAAGTTGAAAACCTATTTATCATCTTGCTTTAGGGCAGCGAAAGTTTGTTAATAAAATTTTTAGCCCTTAAGTTGAAAACCTATTATTATATTATTTTTAATAATTATAACTTCAGTTAAAAGTAACTGTCCCGATTGATTAGTTAGTAATTTCATTACACGGTGGATGGTTGTTGATCGTACTCAATTACTGGCTTTTCAATGAGACAGAGAGCAAGTTCATGTTTATATTTATAGGTGCATTGATTTACAGTGTGCTAAAAGCAGAAGTGAAAGAAAAACCCACAAACCCCAGCTTTAATGCCTCTCAATTATATTTTGGAATAAAGGTTAATTATTCACGTCTGGTTTAAATATTCTGCTTTGTTACTTTTGCTCCAGTGCTCTGGTCCATCAATGGAACCCACCATTGTTAATCATGACATTGTCTTTTCGGAGCGGATGAGTCGTCATCTCTGCAGAATACAAAAGTAGGTTTCAGTCACACATATATATCACAAATATTGTACATAAAGTCATACACCGTGAAGTCAGCCTTTGTTATATATTTGTGTTTGTGTTTCCTCTTCAGGGGCGACGTAGTCGTTGCAAAAAGTCCGTTTGACCCAAATATGAACATCTGTAAAAGAGTGATCGGTCTGGAAGGAGATAAAATCTGCACAAGTATGACCTCAGACCTGTTCAAGACCCACACGTATGTGAGTACCTTTTTTTTTGTTATTCCTTACTTTACCAGGTAGGCTTCTTTGTTTTGACTACTTTCACTGGATGCAAATACAGTTTAAGAAACTTGTTTCCTGAAAGTTTGTCTCAGCCCTAAATCGGAAACCAAATATCGGTGCGTAATACAAAATGCAGAAAACACATTTCACTTTATCTCTGTTTTTTTAACATGTGTTCGTCAGTCTATAGACTGTAATCACTGTTTACATTTTAGTGCGCGCACATCCATTTTAAAACATTGGACAAACTATCAGCATTTGACAAGGCCTGTATTTCCTCAGAGCAGTGATAAAACCAGAGAGGGTTCTGCTGCAGAAACCACTGTCATTGCTTTTCTATTACTGCTCTCCCCAACGTCCACAACCCAGGCCTGCAATCTCTCTGAAGCCTGTTAGAGTTAGTGCCAGCCGAGTGAACAGACTGATGGGTGGAGTACCTTGTATGTTTGAGAGAGAGAGAGAGAGAGAGTGTGTGTGTGTGTGTGTGTATGTGTGAGAGAGAGTGTATAAGGCAGAGTGTACATATGTCTGCAGACCCGGAGGTTGCATTTATTTTGCACGTGTTTTTTCTGAATATATTGTGTATTTTTTATGGACTGGGCAGACAGTTGAATGGGTTCAGGGGAACACGCCGTAAGGCCAGATCTGTAAGTGTCATTCAGAAAACGAAATGGAAAATAAAGAGGTTTTCTCCTTCCGCTGGTTTCACCTTCACATTTGCAGGACAGACCCTGTAATATGAGATATTTTATACGCTGTATACTATGATCCCAGGATGTAGTAACAGATGTTCTCAGATACTCAGGTATTTTCAAATACCCGGTACCTGGAAATACCAGCGATTGTTGTCACATTTATTGAGACCTTTATGGCAACCTGCCAGGCTTCTGATTTATTTTACAGCTGTTTTCTCACTTTTATTCTGAAATTTTTTACCTAGACTGCAATTGTTGTTACATTTACTGAACCAGTTCTAAATATTTTTCAGCTTCAACCTGACATTGTAATGTCTATACCAATAATGATGACATTTAGAAGAGTTAAATGTGGTCAACAACTTATATTATTTAGTTGTATTATATTATTTGTGTCTCACAATTCTCACACATTATTTTTGTGCTCTTTAGAAAAAAACTTGAATAGTATTTTGGATCTCATACTTGTTTCTCATAACTTTTTTCTATTAAATTGCATTTTATTTAAGTAATTTTAGCTTATGTTTCAGTGCTGTCTTTTATATTACTGTCTATGTATTATGTTAATATATTTCATGATATATTTCTACCTAACCACTGCAAATTTTGGGACCATTCTAAATCACCTTTTAACTAATTAGTTATTTGTTTATAAGGACTTGCTGATGTTACTTGTTTTAGTATAACTTATTGTATTAAAGGTATCTCATTTATTTTATCTTAAAATGCTAAATCCTCTTCAGGGTCGGGGGCATCAGACACCATGGACAGTTCAGCAGTCTGTTGTGTCAGGGCCACATATAGAGGAAGAACATGAAAACAACAGCTCTAACCCCCATTGTGTTCCTCTTGTGTTTATTATAATCTATTCCACAGTTGAGGCTAAAACATGTCTGGCATAAATCTGTCCACGACTGCATGACTATAATTTAACTACAATCCTAGAAGTACAACAGAAGCGTGTACTAAAGCATGTATTATTCATCCTTCGACTGCCACCTTCATACTTTTACCAGGAGCAGTTTTTGAAATGGCCACTTTAAATAATAATTTTCCACACTCTGTCATGAACAGACTCTCACACTTCACCAGAAATGTTTGGTCTCCCCCCTTGGGAGGTTTACACCCCTGTAGGACCTGGTATGTGTTTTTGGGGAGCCATTATAGGTGCACAATTAAAGATACATTATAAACAGTGGCGTTGGGCTCTGTCATCACCTCTTCTCTGTGCTGACAGAGTGACAGGTCCTTTACTCTAACAGATCTAACAGCAAACTCTTTTCATCGTCACCTTTTGAGAATCATTTCTGCGTCTGAGCTAATGTGTCAAAACAATGACATTTGATCCCCAATATTAACGTGGAGACGGCCTTCAGTCTCACAGAGAGGATGACCTTGATGTGGTTAGAGATGATCCTTACAATCCTGTGTCTCTTCAAAGTCGGGTAATCTTCTACTCAGTCATGTTAAGATAATGAATAGTGTAGAGGTTTGGCTGCTAAACATCCCATCAGTGCTCCTAGCAGAGCTGTAGTTTCGGCTTTCCTTGACACATTTCTGACAGCAGCGCAATGATTTTAGTCCAAACTGCTTCCATCTTTCACATCAAAGCTTTTGCCAGTGCTGTTCTGAGTGTTGCTGTAGACCATTGGTCACCAACTGTATTTGTTGGATTTTATTTTGGAATCCAGTCATGGGATTGAATTGGACGGTTTGGACCGAACCCACGGGCCACTAGTTGATAATCACTGTTATTCTGTTGACTCTAACTCTGACCAGAACAAATGTAAACAAAAATAAAAATGATAATAATAGTAGTAGTAATACTGGTAATTAAAAAAGTAATAGTAGTATTATGAGAAATAATAGTAATGGTAATAACAATAGCAATAACACTACTAACTCTAAAGAACCAAATAGATTAAGCTCATTTTTACGACATTTATATGCGGATCAAATTATGACCGTTTTACAAAGCTCTATACAATAATTAACCAATCAAAAATAGTTAATTATTAGATTAAATTACACTAGATTAGATTAGTCAGTTTAAGCAACACTTTCTATTTTATTTTCCTCTCAGTGAAACTAAACATCAACCTCCTTTGTTAAAGCAAACAGAACTATTGTCCAACCTGGAACAGAGGGTCATTATTGGTGTCTGCTTGTTCCAGGAAGTAGAACCGTGTAAGAATAACCCCCTCTCCCCCCAGTCCTTAATCAAACTTCTATCTTTAACGTCAGTGTAGGTTTTTTTTTTTTTTTTAAGGATGATGAGGAGAAACGGGGGCTTCTGTTCTGACAGATGACTAACGCTGTTTCTTTTCCTGTGCTTGGGAGCCAGCATATGTTACAATGTTAATGAGGTGTAATGGTGGGAATCCAGCACGCTGACATATGGTCCTCAGATGACTCCTTTAATGATATTCATTTGTGTCATCGTTATTTAGTGAGTTGTATACCTCTTGTTAGGTCAACATGTCACTGCCTCATGATTATGTCACATCGTCCGTCTCAATTATGGAATAAGATATTAAATGCTGAATCCTGCAGTAGGACAGGAACAGTCGAACCCAGGTGATGGGGGTGTGGGGTACGAAACCAAAGAAAGGACGTGTCACCTTATTTAATTTCCCTGTTCCTGTTGTTCTCCTTCTCCTTTGCTCTATAAGACTTTTTTGTAAAAACAAAACAAAACAAAACAAAAACCCACTAAAATAGACTCGTGGATTGTGATGCCCATTATGACAATATAATGTGCTGTTGATCCTGTCTGCACATATAGGGGGGACAGCACACTTAATTAGGGCCTTGACAAGCCTACTCTTCTAAAGTGATGAGATTAATCATAATTGGTGTCACTGTGAATTAGCGCTCGCTCGGCTGACTGCCCCACTGGCAGGACTGACCGTGGTGGAGACCCTTGGTCGCTGCTGCTAGCCGCAGCTTAGCCTCCCCCTCCCGCTCCCCCTCACCCTCTTCTATTCTCTCTCTCTCTCTCTCTCTTTCTTTGCCCATCTATCTCAGAACGCCTCTGTAGTCCTGCCCCTCTCTGGGTAGGAGGGGCACCGGTCTCAGAGAACAGCCTAATGACCCTGTTTGAAGTTCTTCTAAATCCTCCCCAACACTGCCCGTTACCCATGACCCCCCTCTCCTAAGACCGTACAGGGTCAGAGAGGGAAAGGCAGGTTGACGTTAAGATTGGAAGGGATGGGCGGCGTGGGCGGGCGGGCAGGACGTGCGGGGGCAATTCTTTGAGGATAGGGAGTGGGATTATGGTATGTTATCACCGAAAGGTCACTAATTAAGAGTGAGACTGGAGTAATATTGTAAATTTGGAGCATTTGTTTTTTTGATTTTTTTATTATGCAGTCTGAAGAGGTGTTAGAAATAGGCAACAAGACTGGCTCCTTCTTCAGTTCAGATGAGATGAAGTGAAACATCTAGAAACTAAGCCAGCCCAGTTGCCTATTGACTGAGACCCTACAGACACATACAAAAAAGTGTATCAAATACAATTTTAAAAATATATAGAACGAACAGTTGTGAAGTAATCAGCGTTCATGAGTCTGGGTTGTGAGTGGTATTTAAACCAGAACAGTTTGTTTTCCGATTGCTTTAGTCTTCGTCACAGCACGAGGTCAAAAAGTAAGATTGACAAAGAATTGATATGTCTGAGTTTAGGGGTAAACTTGATCTCTCTCTCGCGCTCTCTCTCTCACTCACACACACACACAGATAGAACACATAGAAGGCAACATCCGTATCTCACATACATTCTGTTGGTAAAACCGTCATAACGCTCACTGTGTGTCTGTGTAATGTATTCAGGTTCCAAAAGGCCACATATGGCTGGAAGGGGATAACCTTAGGAATTCCACTGACTCGCGGAACTATGGACCAATCCCCTACGCCCTCATCCGTGGGCGTGTTTGTTTAAAGGTAACAAGGCCGTCTCTCAGTGTATGTGAGTGCAGTAGGGTTGTTGTAGTCTCTGAAGCTAAACTATGATGCTTCCTGGCAAACATAGAGCCATTAAAAATCAGCGAGCAACACCGCTGTTGAAACATACTGTACTATGTAGAACTTCAGTGACCAAAACGTTTCATTTTAATAATGGTTTTATGGCGTATTTGTCGACTGAATCCCATTACGATTGCTGATTTACGAGTGAGTGAACAGCATGTGGGACACAGTGGGATTAGGGAATGGGAATATATTTCATGTTCTGCAAAACTCAAGAACCAGTTTATAATTTTTTTTCCCCATCGTGAAATAAGT